AATAGAAGCTTTTTACAAGGGTACAGGTCCACGGGTCACAGAACGCCATGTGCTAAAACCATGATGCTGCTAGGACATCACAGACTTGTCAACAGCAATCCGGCTGCTGTCACCGTCCAATAAAACCTCCATGAGGCTGACGAACGAGCGTGTCAGCGCAGCAAATTAAAGTGCTCTGACCTCATAGGAAGAATCCTTACCTAAAAATACCAGTGGACTGTAATTTAGAGGGATGGGTGAGGTATGTGTGTTATTGCTAAAGTAGACTGCGTATGGGGCATTCATCATCGTCACATTTGATGAGCTCCAGTGCTTGGGCTGCATTTGATGGATGGGAGCATGTAATGCCAGCAGGGCGGGAACAGGAAGTAAGCTTAGGTGTGTCACTTTGAGCTGAGATTATATTACTGTCAGTTTTAAAATGACTAATGAATCACAGCCTCTGTTTTAAAAAAAAAAAGAAAAGCTCCAAATCATGCAGTAACCTAAATATATAAACAGTGTTGGGGAAAGTTACTTTTTTAGTAATTCATTACAATATTGCGTTACTCCCTAAAAGGTTACTAATTGTGTTACTTAGTTACTTTGTTTTTATTAACAAAAAGAAAAAGGGTTGGACTTTATTTTACAATATGTGCACTTACATGTAGGCTACTTACCTAAGAAAGTGGGCAATACAAATGTTACTGCTATTTAATTAAAAAAATTATGGTAACAATATTACACATAATATTTTTGAGTACTTAAGGCTTTATTTCTTTCATGGAATCTACCTGAATAAATCATGTAAAATCCCCTTAATTATTTAGTCTATGATACAATGAATTTAATATTTTTAGTGAAATATGCCTTTTTATTTTAAGTTGACGCTCAAAAGTGTGAATTAGAGTGAATGGAAATAACCTGTTTATATTTGACTATGAGATATATTGTATTATCAAAAGACCTTCACACAGCACATACCCAATGTACTAGCATTATAGGAAGTTTTTACTTAATGTACAAAGCAACATGATTCAGTGTATCAATATATGTAGTAACCTTACTATAAGCCCTACTCTTCTGCACAATGGTAACGATCAAAACTTCAACATCATAGAAACTCTTTCAAATGTCAAACATAACTGACCATTAAACATTAACAGATGTTTCCCTTTACTCAAAAACACATAAAATAACACTTAATTTCACTAACAACTAACAATGGTGTCTCTAAATAAAACCACATAATTGAGCTAATTCTCTTAAAATAAATTGGTAGCCCTTTTTCCTTAATTTTATCAGCTTAATCGGTTCCTCAATTCAAGCCTCAAAATTGTGTGTTTCCTTAAAAAAATTACGAAAATGCATCTCTTGGTTTTATTAGGGAAATGTTCTCAATATTTTCTATACAACACTGAACCACAATTTTCTTAATATATAATATAAACAATATTTTTAATTATCACCTTCATTTTTTTAATGAAAATTACAAGACCCATGATTAATTTTTTACAGTGTACATGGTTTAAGGTTAGGTTTAGGGGTAAGTTCAGGGTTAGTACCTAGTTATTACTCAGTTGTTATCATTACTATAATAAGTACATACATGCGAAACAGGACTGTAAAATAAAGTGCAACCAAAATAAGTTCTATTTCTGGCAAATGTAAAGGCACTTTCACACCAAAAGTGAAATGAATAAGCCTCAGGCTGAAGGAAATGCACAGTCACGGCTGTACAGTAGAGGGCGCAGCTCAAACACACCACCTGTGATGTTTATCTAAAGTCATTTTTGCTTATGGTTGAATTAAATCATCGAAGGTCAGCAGCAAAGCGAAGGTCAGCAGAGCCCTCGCTCTGTGTGTGTATGAGTGTGTGAGCGGGCGCGACTCATTATCGCTGCTGATGAGCTGATCAGCGGCGCCTGATTCTCATGTTAGCGTCCTATTTATTGTCTGTGATTTCGTCCTGTCTTTGTCAGATCGTTTGAGGCTTTCCTGGGATTCACATGGGAGATTTGTGCTTCTCTGGTTCAGCGTTTCCTTGTTCGTGTTGTTTCTCGTTTCCCGTGTTCCTGGAGTTTCCACTGGATCCGCGTTACCAGTTTTGTCCCGACGAGTATGACCTGTATCTTCTATCTGTTTTCTGAACTGTTTACAATAAACTGTTTCATTCACTCGCATTTGGATCCTATTGCCTTCTTACGTTATAGACACTGACACAAAGTCATTGCTTAATAAAGTGAGATTAGGTAGGCTACATACAGTATATTTGTATTTTTTTTGTATTAAATATTGCAGGTTGGAGTAATATTCTGATTTTGCATTTCACAGTTTTTATTAATTTTGAGGAGTACTGAATCTGTTTTTGTGCAAGTGAGATGAGTAGATGCTCACATTTAGTCTAGAACTACAATATCCATCATGTTCACACAGCACACAGGAGTATTTGCATTAAGGTAACAAGATTAAATTATAATGGTGAGATACACAGATCCTTTCCATGCAGAAATATCATCTCTCATTCTAAATTTAAAACATCCCCAGAGCTTAAAACCACAATCAAAGTCAATCCAATTCCTCACAAACCCACCTGAGGCTCCATTGTGGGACTCGTGACTGCGCTCAGAGACGGAGAGGCTGAAAGGTTTGGGGTTTTTTAATGAGATGATAGGTACTAGTAAGAACTGGCAGGACCGACTGCTGCAGACACACACCTGTGCCCCGCACGGCTGGTCTCATCAGTTTCTATTGACCCAGTTTAATTGGCTCAAGCAGGAGTTAGTGAGAGAAAGGGACTTCTGCATGTATTGATCCTGCAACTTCAAAATTCTCACACTAGCTTACAGCCCAATGGGTTTTAAGAAGGTCATGTGTAATGTCTGTGTCATGGGTTTATTTATTCGGACAACAACAGCAACAGTGGCGAAGGATATAGAGGGTTAACTCCAGTAACAGCTGGTTTCATTACACACCTGATCATAAAAATTCTCACAACTCTGCTACTCCAATATATTGAAGATTTTGATTCATTCCATCTACTCAAATCCTCAAGTCCAAAAAGTATGAACATGGTTAAAAATATGGCTGTGGGAATATTCAATTCAAATGTATGAGATTGAAACAAATTGGATTTATTGATGATAAATGTACATGGTTACTGTAATTAAAACACATTCAGTTTATAAATACTAAATGACCTGTTTCAGTTATGTATGACTGACAAATATGCATCACATCAAGTTTATTAGTTTGTTAAAACAGCGTAATCCAAACAAATGGAATTTTTTTTGTGTAATGCAAATACATAAATCTTACATTTGTTCCCAAATATTCTTTTAGAGGTCAGTGTCATTTTACTATTATTTATTTATTGTTATAGTAGTTTTTAATATTTTGAATTAGCTGGCAAAAAGAGAACGGGACAGAGCTTATAATAAAGGAGAATCAACATTGGCATGGTTTTCGGAGATGGCAAGAACAGAGATGTTGTAAAAGCAACGCCGAAATGGCGTTTTCATTGCTCAACAGGTGATTAAGGTATTTTATTGAGCATATCAATTGCCATATGGCGCTCTTCATTGTAAAGCATTATCTAATGTGTAGGTTTAAATTCTTCCGCAGAGTCACGCAGAGCCAAAGCACAACCAAAACAATGTTCTTCCACAAAATGCTTTTTTTTTTACCGCTAGATGGTCAAAAGTTACATAGTGCACCTTCAACAATAACAACGGTGGTGTTTTTTTTAGCTATGTAGGCTCTTTTGAATATAGATTGAAAAATCCGGACATCTTTGGGGACGTCTGGTCGTTCTATCAGTTGAAGAACAGTTCATAAAGACACATCCCTTGACAAATGACCAAGATTTGTTTAAAAACATTGATTAATTCTGTAACTAACTAAGCAAAGCTTCACCAGTACATGCATTTCCTATAATCGGTTTCCCATTTTAGCCTTTGAATCCAGCAGAACTCTCTGTAAGATGAACTCAAACCAGATCTAAGTGATAATGCTTTACTTTATCACAGAACCCAAGTTATGAAATAACATTTAATTTCCAGGGAAATATCTTATCTTCCCACTCTTTTTGGTTATATAAGTTGAGATAAGTCGACTTTGGGTGGCTAAACAGTATTCTGCTGGCATTGCACTCTGGACAGAACGACAAGCGCACAATGATAATGTGCCAGAGGATGAAGAGAGAGAGTTAATTGGGTTTGCCCTCTCTCTTAGGGTGCATAGATTAAGAGGAATCATAAATTAACAGACCCATTGAGTCTTAATTGTGGCTGGTGAGTGGAAATCTCACCCTCATTATGGCCTCTGTGCCTTTACCCTGGTGATCATCATTCAGGCTTCACACAGAGATGGCTAAAGGTCATGTATTTCTGCCAAACAATAAAGAAATTCATGAGGGTGAAGAAACTGCCTATGCTTTAATATGCAAAACTTGATGACAAATTGCTGTATTATTTATATCTGATCATTCTACTTTCCATTAATCAGTTAATAAAGGTGACTTGTGACTTTGGAACAGCATTTTCATATGCACAGATGATATTTAACTATCATCTGTTTAGTAGACATAAGAGTCACATATTACTGAACATATTCTTTTAAATTTTAGTAGCTCATCATGTTTAGTTGAATTTAAATAAGGTGTGTAACTGAGTAATTTGTTTGTACAAGGCTGCCCTCTGGTGTATATTTCTCTGGTGAGGGATCACAGTTTTTTATTGAATACACAGTTTTTTATTGAATACACAATTTCGACAAATGCCTTAAATTAACATATGACAATTACAACTTATTAGAAATTATTAGCAGCCCTGATTAAAACAATTACATTTTAAGATTCATATTTATTTTTAATTAATTGAGAAAAATATCCATGCATGATTTCCCAAACGATTTCTTCACCATCACAGCATTATTTTAAACATTAAATTTAAAACCGTTAAAAGAAAATTCTTTAAATAAATTTCATGTAGTTTTTCCACCAAAGTCAAAATTAATAATTAATTAGTGTTTCATAAAATTGTTGTCTGAACAACAGCAAATTCTGTCCTGCTCCATCTGAGACTTGGCCATTTTTCTCAGCAGTAGGATGTGTTCGGCGAACTCTCGCACGACCCCGCGACCCGCCGCGCACTTGCATGAGTATTTGGCAGCATTGAGCGCCACCACTGGGGCCTCCAGGGTACTGCGCTCAGCCCTGGGTACTGCACTCAGCCCTGCCCGGCTCAGGCACTTTACATCTGGCTCATCGTTCCCTGATACAAAGATGTTGGGACACAGATTTTGAGAAATATACTCATTTTCAGGAATATGTTTAAAGGGGCTATATGTAAGAATTTGAATGTATTAATCGCTATTTATATTGCCGATGTGTGAACAGATTCTAACGAAATGAGACCTTCCCTGACTTTCTAGGTTGTCTATGAAAGACTGATTTTTATGTGAAGGACTCTGGACGTTTTTACCGGGAAAATCAAAAGGTTGTGATGTTAATGCGCCCTTCCGAGAGCCTCATTCAATGACAAATAAAATGAATGCTTATACAACAATCAGGATAATGCAGAAAGAGCTATTCTGTAATGTCAGTGTGTCATGCAAAGAAAAGGGATTAATTCAAACTATAGTTTCACTATAGACTATACAGTCTCAATAAAATATACTTTATAATCAAACTCTCATAACAGTCAAACATATCCACATTGCCCTGTCGTTTTTGTTATGTGTTTATTTTGTTATTAAAAGCGTGCAGCATATATTTACATATTCATCTAAACGCCGCTCTCAGCAGTGTTGGATATTCGTTAATAGTATTACGCTGCAAAGGTGTTTCCAACTTTTCACTTCTTATCGAGGAACGAAAAAGAACTTTGTCGTGAGTATATAGGGGCCTTGAATCATGTTGAATAAGTCGCTTGTATGTCTTACGTGTGCGAGCATGAGCAATAAGTTGCTAGCTGCAGTTCTCTTAACGGCCACCGGTGTAGTTAATAACAAGAGTTTCTGAATTCTACATATAGCCCCTTTATGACATTATTAAAAGATAAAAGGCTTCAGTATTCATAGTTAATATAATCTTTTGATTCTGTATTATGCACACCGATTTTTCCGAGACACCGTGTTGTTACTGATTATGGCATTCAGCTGATGTAACTGGGAGAAACGGAGAGCTCGACTCACCCAAGTACGCCACCTCTTTCCACTCAAGCCTATCCTTCTTCATGAATTTCTCCACCTCTTTCAGTATGTCCACATTCTGCAGGACGCGGCAGCCCATCCTCTGGGAGATTTTTTTAGCTAAGGTTTTTGTTATTGGGTTTTGTTCTATCAAAATAACCTAAAGGAGACGAGGGGGGGGGGGGGGGGGGGAACACACACACATATACATTATTTATAAAACATAAATAATTGACAAATGTAATGGTTAATAATTTAATAATAACTGAAATATACATGTATTAATTTCCTTTATTTAATATTACACTTTAATCTTAGTCACTGTTTTTTGTACATGTACAGTATTGTGTACTGCTGCTAAAATAGAATCAATGTATTTAATTGTGCATAAATATTTTTATTTTTCAATTCACTTCAATTTATCGTTTTCTCTTCATTTTCATTTATCATAGCATTTTAATCATTACTTTCTTAGTTTTTATTTTTGTGTACATGTACTGTTCCTAAAACAGAAACATTCACTGTATTTTAACTTTAGTTTTCATAATATAGAAGGCATTTTTATAAATGTCTTAAGCCTTGAATTTTTATTAATAAAGGCTTAGAACCAGTTTATTTGTAGTGCACTGACAATAGTTTTATACAATTAGTTTATTAATTAAATTAATAAAAAGACAAAAAGACCTTGAGATATGTTTGGTAATTGTACCTGAATGAATTTAAAATTAATTTGCTATATTTCAGATCAATATATTTGTTTTCCTTAATTTTAATTAACCCTAACTTTATTCTCATCTTAATTATAAATAATTGATTTCCGTATAAAATAATACTACCATCAAAAACATCTTTTTTAATCAATGTAGAATGTGCAACTTAAAAATAAACAGATTGGAGCTCTGCTTGAGGACAAGAATTAAAAACCAATGCGATATGATGAATGTCCAAAAAATGGAACCCACAGACTGTTTTGAAATGGGGTTGGATAAATATGTTTTGCTTTTAAAACTGTGTGTGTGTGTGGTTGGGTGACAGTTGTAGGTTACAGTTTGACAAGAGTTTATAGTTTGACAAAAGCACAATGTTGTATTTTATTGCGAGTGTACACAAATAAGTAAACACTTTGCAGTTTGAATGATGTCCTGTATTAACAAAATTACGGATTATGTTTTTATGTTTCCACTTTTTATGTTTCCACATCGCGCCCTCGCCTCTCACACTCACACATAGCCTGACTTCGTCATACTCATATTCTAGTCAGAATTTGAGTCTGATACTGCTTTATAAGGCTTTGATTATGAGGCGTGTCTTAACCGAACCAGGAAAAAAAAAAAAATCTGCACTCAATTGGATAGACCTACAACCAATGAGAGCAACGCAGTAAGTCAACTACTTTGCATAGCACAGTTGTCAACTACAGAACTCAAATGCACGCACGCTGGAAGAAGTAAAATAATGAGTGTTGCTTCTTTTACTTGGTCCTCTGAGTGCGACCAAAGGAGAAACCACAACGACCACAGGGTTTTCATTGCGTCCCATCTTCTTAGTTACCATCGGAGCCAGCTGATAAATTAAACTTTTGCCGAATCCCGTAGGAAGGACGGCAAACACATCTTTCCGATCAACAAATGCCTTGATTGCAGTTCTATGTTCGTCTTTTAAAATGAATGCGCTGTCGATTTCTTTTACAACGGACGCGATAGCGGAATCTCTACATCTCAGTTCTCCAGCTGCAGTCATCTCTGAGGGAAACCAGTTCAACCCAAGCGCTCTTTGATAACGTGATGATTACGTCCCTGCAGATCATCTGTCCATCATCGTATAAAGCCCGCCCTGGCAATTTGATTGGCCCGACGATTTCTGAACCGATCATAATTACTCTAGATCGGGAAGTTCGGTCTGGACTTGCTCCATTGAGGAGTAATTATGATCGGTTTAGTAATTATGAATGGCGAGCTCAGTAGACGCTGACGCTGTGTGCTCAAGATTCCGATTGGCCAAGAGAAAAAGTGCTAAGATTCCGATTGGCCCAGAGAAATGTCAATTATAAGAATTGTCCAGGCCATGAAGGGCAGCCTCCCCACAATTTTGCAGGTCTGATATTAACATTGAATAATTTAACAATTTTAATCTACCCTTCAGCATAGATTTGTAAGTGACTGTGTTTTGATGTTAAAATACTCAATGCATTTCCATGTTTCATATTATCACTGAGTTAAGTCTGTCTTTTACAAGTATATCAGTTTCCATAGAAACTGTCAAAAATTGCCAGTGCCGACTGTATTTCAAGTCGTCACGGCGGGGTATTGGGTAAAGTTTTCAATTAGCAATAATCGCGCCTCGGATTAACCTCATAGGCTACGATACTGCCACTGCGCAAGGATAACTATTTAGAGGAGACATCTGAGCACTTGTGCATCTGAGCCCTTGTGATCATGAATGGTAAGACCAGCAAAACTCACTAAACATTGTCAAACTGCACTACACTACACACAAACTGTTCAAAAATCGCTGTTTTAAAAGTGAAATATCAAGTTGTGCATTTTATAACAAAGTTTTGTTATATTAAAAGGCAAAAACAAGAGGCATCCCAGATGCATGATGGGATACGATGGGGCAAAGACAAAGGAGGGGGTGTATTGTTGTGTGGGGGTTGGTTGAGGTCGGGGGTGGGTAACAAATTGTTGCCAAACAAGAATCACCTTCACTCCTTCTTTCATCAGCATGTTGATGCCGGCCTGGTCTCTAGTGTTGATGGACACCAAGTCATCTCCATTTGCTGAGATGTAGATCTGCCCATCTGTCAAACATCCTGACACGTCACACAGCAGGAGCTTCACAACTTCAGGTTTGTCCTTACCGAAGTAACCGAACCTTTATCACATATACACACCCACACACAGTTTGCTTAAGTTACTCTGTGCATTGTGGTTGTTTGCTAACAAGTTGCTTGGGAACTTGAAACACAAGCCTATTATTGGCAAGGCTTCACATTAGAGAGACAGCTACACATTACGGGTTTATTTAATTACTTAATAATGTAATTATATGTCATTTATAGGCAGCTGCAGGCAATAAAGTATTGTTTTTGTTTTGTTTCTTCACCTCAGCACTCTCTGTTCAGCTACGGGCCAGTCTATGTCAACATCAATATCCACACTGTACTCTGGGGGCATCTCAAAGCAACTCGTTTTTCCACCCTGTGAAACGCAACACAACACAATCACAATCTGATGATTAAGGATACGGATAATATACTTTCTTGCCTATGGATTTTTATGTCAGGCTTTTAAAACCCCAAATTTTACCTGAAGAAGCCCATTTTCTATGAGATCTTTGGTTGCGAAGTAAAAGGAGCCATTTTCACACAGCTCTCCGGCCCAGGCCTGACGGCAAGGCCTGCAAGCTGGGTCCAGGTTCAGCGGTTTAGTAAAGACTTCCCCTGAAAAGAAAGAATTGGCGGTCTGTAATTTAAATATATGGTTAGAGTCCCCAACATGCAATAAATTCAACCTTAACTACAAGTACACTACCGTTCAAAAGATTTAGTTAATTTTTAACTAAAGTCTCCTATGTTAATAAATGTAGCGTATATTCAATTAAAATACAGTAAAACAGTAATGTTGTGAAATGTATTTGCAATTTAAAAGAACTGTTTTCTATTTTTATATATTTTAAAATGTAATTATTCCTGTGATGGCAAAGCTGAATTTTCAGCATCATTACTCAAGTCTTCAGCATCACATGATCATTCAGAAATCATTCTAATATGCTGATTTGCTGCTCAAGAAACATTTTATTATAATCAATGTTGCTTTCAGGATTCTTTGAAGAATAGAAAGAACAAAAGAACAGCATTAATTTGAAATAGTGATCTTTTGTAACATTATAAATGTCTTTCCTTTTGATCAATGTCTTGAATCCTGGCTGAATAATAGTACATTAGATCTGTGAACATTCACAGATTGCACTTTAACAAACCTCCTTCCTTGACCTCTTCCCATCGAAAATTGTGTCGCCGGACCACAGAGAAGACAGAATCACAGCCTTGTTTGGTTATGAGCTCCAGAGCCTTTTGGAGATGTTCAGGGTGCAGACATGGAGACGTGGCCTGGATGTTACAGATGACATCCACATCTGTGCAAGAACATTCAATTTCACTTAACCACTCTCCCATTTATAGCCATTTAGTGGATTTCTGAGATCCAACATTTACTTTTTACACACTTCAGACAATCAGACGTTAAAGGAGAATATTGCTCTAAGGTCTAACTGTGAGAATGTTCCCTTTCTCTCTAGATTTTGGAAAACAGGCAGAATCTAGCAAGGTTTTGAAGCTTGCAACCTTGAGGAACAAGCTGTGCGTACTCTTGATAAAGTCCTGGGAATAAATATATTGAATCAGACTCGTAACATGGTAAATATCACAAACAGGTTCTTTTACTATAAACATTCTTCTGCATCATTGCACGAAAATGTATCAGCCGCAGAGTCTGTTTTTCTGGTTTCATTCACAATGCAAATAAAGACATTGTGGGTGAAACCGTCCTGGTATGCAGCGAGAAGTATGATCAACATTTAAACTGGGTTACGTGGCAACTTTCCTGTTTCTATCTTTGTTGCTTGACGAGTGGACACACTTGTTCTACAAGCTCTAGATACACCCCGTTTACAGAACTGAGTCATTAGCCATGCAATGGAATTTAACTGCAACAGAACCTGCCTGATTTCTAACCTGGGTGTTTACTGCTGAACTCCTGAATGGTCTCCAGTGAGCTCGTACAGTCTTTGGACACACATGGACTCCTCGTGTGCACTTCAGCACCCCAGGCCTTGGCCACTTTCGCAATATCTTTATGATCAGTGGACACCCAAACACTGCAAAAGCATGCATAGGACACATATAGTAAGAAGCACTGCTATACAGTACAGCCAATCGCTGAGTAACGTCACGTCACAATCAATAGTCTCACCTATTGAAGACACCAGAGTCCCGCGCGGCTCTGATCACCCATCCGATCAGAGGAACGCCTGCCAACATCTTGATGTTCTTCAGAGGGATGCCTTTGCTTCCTCCACGGGCGAGAATAAGAGCAGCGATGTGTTTTGAATCGTCCAAATGGACTTTTCTTCGTTTTGAGCTGGAATTGTTCTCATGGCTGTCTTTTTGCCGCTTTCTCTTAACGTTAGCGCTAACGTTACCGTTTTCCTTTGCCCTGGCCATTTGTGTTGAAAATCAATTGATATTTCCCTGTTGTAACGTTACAGACAATCAAGCAGTTAAAGCCTCAATTTAATCCAAACGGGAGCTGCATGGCGTTACTTCAATTCCGATGAAGTTATCTTATCTACTCTTCTTCTTCTTGTTGTTATTTTACGGCGGTTGGCATCCAACTTATTGGTGCATTTCCGCCACCTTCTGCTCCGGAGTGTGGAACAGAAAATAGGTTTGCATCCTGCGGTGGACATCCAACCCAACCACATCCAAGTGTGACGTCAGAAGCCACCACGCCCATGCCCAAATTGGACGCATTCTCATTAACATTTAAAAACAGGAAGAAGCATCGAGAAGAGAAGACTAGAAGACGAAGGTAACTGCGAAACAAAATGCACAAAACACACTTGCGGTTTTAGTATTTTAGTAAACACTGTTCAACATAATACGGATGAGTTGTATGAGAATGAGATGTTACCTGTTGAAAGCAGCTCTTATCACTTTAATAATAGTTTGTAATGAGGTCAGTGCGGTGCGGCTAATCACTTGACTAGCATTGTCAAAATATCGATGTAATTCGAATCAATAAGGTTTGATGATGTTGTTTTAGAGCTATGATTTATCTTCAACTTACATATTTGGTCATTTAACTCCCCTGTAATGTCTCAACTGAGTTGTGTGTTACATTTGGCTGAGTGAATTTCGTATCAGTAACTACGTTAGATTCTCAACTGAGAATTTTGTTTTGTATACTATTACTATTATACTATACCAACTAACTGCATTATTATATCACCAATGTCATGTTGTTATTTGGATTAAGGGTAAATATGAAAAATATATTATTTCAGTGCTTATGTGTGACGTTACATCCTGTAAATCTTATTCTGCTTGTAAAGAATATGAGATTTGATTGTCACTCTGTCAGTTGTAAATACTCCATATTGAAAAAGTTTGAAGTTGTTCTGTCATTGCTTATATGCAAAGAAGTTATACATGTTTAGATAATGTAATGTGATGATAAACTGTTGTAATATGAATAAGTTTTATTATTGATTCATAGTAAATACAGTGACAGCAAGCCAGCCATCACATCAGCAGACTTTCCTAACTATATTATACTTCTTTTCAGGAGTACTACAATTTTGAAAGCAAGTGATTGTTTGCCATGTCGGTAAGTAAAAATAAACTTTGGTTTGTATCCTAATCAAGTTAGCGTACTGTTAACTGTCGGGCCAAAGGTTTGTCTGAATTGGAATTAACAACTTAACGATAGCTAGGTTAAAACGTTTTGGTCTGATCACTTATCACTTACAACCCTAACTTATCACTTCAAAGTAACTTGGTTGAGCAACCGAATCATTTCACTACATCTTACTTGATAACTCTGTGTATGTGCCAAATTATCTATCTATTCTAGATTAATGGAAAGATCACATAATTATTGTCATTGTCATGTTTTACAGCATCCTACACATTTTCAGTTCAAGCCTGATGCAGATCAATTCTGCCTGGATGGGTGGTTCCAATGTCCCTGCTGCAGTTTTATGACTAAAGAGAAATTCTCATTTTCTATTCATCCATTGCAGGTCAGAGTAGATTATTAATTATTTTTGCACAATGCCCAGTGCACCCTTTTGTTACTGATATTTCTGTTAACACAACAGTGACTGTTCTCTGAAAACTATTTCAGTGAAGTGGAAGATTTTAACCGACAAATTGACAAACAATTGAGGAAAGAAGGGAGACCATTCAATTGATAGGTGTTGCTCTTACATTTACACATTTGGAGTTTGGAATTAGACGTCAGTAACATGAATATTCTATTTGACTTTCTCTCTCTACAACTCCAACATTTCATAAGTGTTAAGTGTTAAATCAGAAATAGACATTTGTTTAACATGTTCAACTGAAATATATATTTCTCTCTCTCTCTCTCTCTCTCTCTCTCTCTCTCTCTCTCTCTCTCTCTCTCTCTCTCTCTCTCTCTCTCTCTCTCTCTCTCTCTCTCTCTCTCTCAGAGTTGAAGCCATTCTTGCAGCAACTGGTGGAAAAGGGGATCTTTTTGGTGCTTTTGTTCTAGCACAAATAATTTTGTTCTTTCATATAATATAAATAAATACATGTGTATATATAAATAAATTCATGCTTGAATCATTCTCGAGTTTTGCCTTCTGATATCTGGCCATATCATTTAGTGACTGCATATGCTGATTCCATCGTTATTTTACCTGATAATGAGCAAATTAGTTAAACTTAAGGAGGTTTAACAATATACAGTATAATTCAAGAAACTAAGACTCACTCAACTTTTTCAGTTGTTTAAGGATTGATATACATTTTTTATTTGTTTTGTGTAAATTAAATTTTTTCAAAATGCCTCTGATACATTTTGAATAAAAAAAACACATTTTATAAAAATACTCCTGAGATTAAATGTCTTTCGAACTATGTATGCACAAACTAAAAAACTAGGGTCCTGTAACCGGGGTCCTAAAGCTGCAGCCTCCGATTGTGCAGGAATATACTATTGATTTTAAGTAGTATAGTGAATGTGTTGCTATGAACAACTGTGACATTGGTTATTTTAACAAAAAGTTATCACACTTGCATAGATGGGTCATTTTAGACCCATGTGATGTATTAACTTGATGTATTAACACAAAATATTAAATAAAAAATTAATTTGTGACCAAGATATTTTGAACTATGATGATATTTTGATATGTTAAACTCATAAAACCTGTACAGAAGGTGAAGCGAGAGATTAACTGTTTTTTATGTATTAGAATATTGTGCAAAAGTTCATTTATTTCAGTAATTCAACATAGCTGTAAGCCATAATCATCAAATTTATAACACATAAAGGCTTGAAATATCTCACTTTGCATGTAATGAGTCTATATTATATATTAGTATCACCTTTTAGTTGAATTACTGAAATGAACTTTTGCACGATATTCAAATTTTTCAAGTTTCACCATATTGGTTCTTTAAGGTTTACATAAATTCCATTCTGCTGTTTTATTATTTGATTTCAAAGTCATTTGCTATAACAGGCATTAACTAATAAGTGAATTCTTAATTTGGTTGTAAAAATGCAATATTTCTATAACCACATAGAAAGAAATGTAAAAAAAGTTTACATTTATTTTTTTTATTTAGAAGGGGTAACTATAAGTGCAGTTTGGATCCCATATAATTAAGAAAGTGACAAAAACTCGTTTTAGTTTAAGTATAGATGCTCCCTTATACGTTTATAATAGCAAAACCATGATTATTTATTACCATTTGTGTAACAGAAATACAAGAGAAATACAAAAATATCGTTTTAAGGTACATTGTTTACTTGTACTACCATGTCATTAACTTACAAAACCAGTGAGCAATGCTCACTGTTAAGGGAGTGATTGTGATTTAGACCATTCCAAGCCTGCCAAAGCGTCACAATTTAACTGCACCAATAATAGCGTCACACTTCTATCCAAATAACCTCATCTTTAAATCGAGTCACGTGCCGTATTTGGACATGGGCGAGGCTTCCGACGTCACACTTGGATGGGCGTGGCTTCTGACGTCACACTTGGATGTGGGCCGGGTTGGATATCCACCGCAGGATGCAGCGAGCTGTACTTGACTAAATCCCCCTCTCCCACTCACACACACACCTCCTCCCATTCATTCTGCATGTTAATAATTTTAATAGTAATAACAACAATTATTATTACCACCATAATTACAACATCAAAATTTATACTTTAACCCTCATCCATACTACCTTTATTTATATTCTATTAAAAACCCCTATTTCTCTTAAGAAAGTCATACGAATTCTAGTCTGAACCCTATCACTACTCAATAACCCTTTTAATGTGATGTTCTGAACTCCCATCTCCCTCAGCTTATTCCTCATCATCTCTCTCTGTGCTCCATACCTACTACATCTCAAAATTATATGCTCTACAGACTCCTCTTCCTGGCATCCTTCACACAATCCAGTATTATGTTTCCCTATTAACTTAAGCGTTTTATTTAATAAACAATGTCCCATTCTTAACCTAGAGATCACAATTTCTTCTCTCCTATTTCCACTTCCAACCCTTGTTTCTTTAACTTCCCTTTGAATTTGATATAAGTGTCTCCCTGTCCTCTCTCTATCCCACATTTCTTGCCACTTTTGATTTATTTTCTCCCATATCACACTTTTAACTTCTGCTTTACTAATACTAACTTGCATTTCTATATTTCCTTTTGTTAATGCCCTTTTTGCTAATTGATCAGCCATTTCATTCCCCCTTATCCCTACATGTCCTGGTACCCATATAAACGTTACTTGTCCACCTTGGTTAACTATTCTTGTTACTGACTGAAGTACTTCCCACAGAATATCTTGACGACTTTTGGATTTGAATGACCGAAGACTTGTTAAAACTGCTGATGAATCTGAGCATAACAATACTTTTTCCTGTGCCGTCCTTTCTACCCATCGTAATGCAATTAATATAGCCAACATTTCCACTGTATAAACCCCTAATTGATTAGATGTTTTCCTATTGATTCCTGTTCCTTTATCTGGTATCACCACCCCTAATCCTGTTGCTTCCGTCTCTGGATTCTTAGCTCCATCAGTATAAATCTGTATATATGTATTATATTTTTCCAACAACCGATTATTGAACAGTCTTTCTAAATTAATTTCCTCCTGAGCCTTCCTTTTTTCCTGTAACACAAACCAGTCTACCTCTGGCCAAACTATCTTCCATGGCGCAATCTCTGGATAAACTATCGTGGGACTCATCCTCAAATTATACACTTGTAGTTCCTTGGCTATTTCATTTCCAATCCGTCCAAAATTTTCCTTTAAATTTTTCCCATACTCCCAGCTTTCCTGCAATACTGCCTTAGTGATATGTGAATTATTATGTCCTTTTAAACCAGCCCAATAGTTAGCCATTAACTGTTTCCT